AGAGCATTGAAGATGGGTCGTGGCTGGGTCTTCCAGCATGACAATGACCCCAAACACACAGCCAGGGCAACTAAGGAGTGGCTCTGTAAGAAGCATTTCAAGGTCCTGGAGTGGCCTAGCCAGTCTCCAGACCTGAACCCAATAGAAAATCTATGGAGGGAGCTGAAACTTTGTGTTGTCCAGCGACAGCCCCAAAACCTGAAAGATCTGGAGAAGATGCAGTGTGTGCAAACCTGGTCAAGAACTACAGGAAACGTTTGACCTCTGTAATTGTAAACAAAGGTTTTGGTACCAAATATTAAGTTCTATTTTTCTATTGTATCAAATACGTATTTCATGTAATAAAATGGAAATAAATAATTTAAAAATCTAACAATGGGATTTTCTGGAATTTTTTGTAGATTCTGTCTGTCACAGTTGAGGTGTACCTACGATGAAAATTACAGATCTGTCCGTTCTTTGTAAGTGAGAAAACTTGAAAAATCAGCAGTGTATCAAATACTTATTTGCCCCACTGTACCTGTCCTGCTGCGGGGCTATCACCCCTCTACGGCCCTGTCCAGCTCTCCTGTGCCCCGATTGGGCTGCAGGTACTGCCTCATGCTACCTGTAGTGACAAGGACACTAGCAAAACACAAACTTGAGAAGAATCAGTCAGGAAGGATAAAGAGAGTGTCTTTGCTTGTTGGTCAGCAGGATTATTGACAAATGGCTGGATGGATCATCAGCATACTTGGTAGAGACATTGGTGGGGACCTAGAAATAATTAGATTTTGGCTGTCAAAGGTCAAGGTCCTGAGATTCTCCAGTGTGAGCCAGTTATTTAACTGCCACTTAAACATGAGTGAATTATATAAAAAAAATATAATCAAATATTAAAATGAACAGCTCAGTTCATTAAGCATCTCGGTGCTGCTTTCCACCCTGCTGCTGCGAGAGGTTTCACCCTTCTCTCTTCACCCACTGACATTTTGAATGCAAATGAAGCAGTTCACCTTTCTTTTTGAGAAAGAGGTGACAACTGCAGCTGGGGGCTTCTTCATAGGAAACTGTATCGCTGATATTACAGTTGAGCAGCAGCTAAACGGGCTGTGACTGTAAACCTCAGCTCTGTGATTTGTCACTTTATATATTTGTATAATTGTAATTACTTTATTAGTGGTAAATGGGAGCAATTATAGTTTCTCAGTTGTTGATCATTTTTGGTTGAATTGTTTTGTGTTTTTCTTGGCCTGGTAGATTAGTTGGCCACACACAGCACTGAAAATCCTTCATTGACCAATGCCTGGATTAATTAAGGTCTCCTAGTATAATTGCTGGTCAGATCATAGCTGCATGCTCATATGATCTAGAAGGGAATTACAAAATAACACTGACATGGACCAGTGAACCTGTAATCATGTAGTAAAATAATGGACATTTTGTTCTGCCATGTCAGTGCATTTACATTGATAAAACCTGTTTTTGAAAATTAAACAAGTGACCCAGGATTTGGGGGCTAATGAAGTGGACTTAATTTAGTTTTTTGCAATGTTACACATGCAGAGTACAATATTTTCAGGAGTTGTAATGTAGTCTTCTTTGTTCTTGTTTCATCAAAATCAAAGAGCATCCACATGCACACACGTCTTCAGATTTAAATGAACTATAATTTTGCACATTTTTGCAATTTTATTTTACTTCAAAACTGAACTATGTAAAACTACAGAAAGACGAAGTTCAGGCTCAACTGGGAAAATAATTCCCTGAGTTTGTGACTAAAAACACAAATGTATTCAACCAAGTATCTTGGTGGCAATAAAAGCACTTTCATTATGTAGTTTGTTTTTCATCAATAAGCAGCCTAGGCAGATATTCAGTAAACGTATTAATAAAGTGTGTTGAAAACTTGCATAGGGCTTTGTTTTAAATTTAAAATTCTAATATTTGTGCATCAGGTTGAAAGATGTTAAAAATGATTTGCTGTTTTTAAGGAAAATGAACCATATTCCATGATCTGGGTTTCAGGTTTTCTCACTCAGCTCTTCTTCCTTCCCTCTCACCATCCCTCGGACACTCTGGTCTATTGTTCTGCATCTGTCACTCACTCAGGGAGGTGGTGCTGAAGCTGCTTCAGTTTGAGGCATCTACAAATGTGGCTGACAGCAAGGGTTGCTTCCCTCTGCACCTGGCTGCCTGGAGGGGAGATGTGGACATTGTTCGCATTCTCATCCACCACGGACCCTCGCACTGTCGTGTCAACCAACAGGTAAACACCATAATCTCATCATTATACCCGTAAAAATCATCTTTTTTGGGAATTTTAGATTATGCTAGAACCACATATAGTGTCTCCTCAGTCTAACAAAACTATAATTGCCATTCTAAAATGGTATTTATGAAGAAAGAAGGGTGACCTAGTGGTTAGCAGACAGTCAGCTGTAGAGTCCATCCTGTATGGCAGGAAGCCATGGCCTATGGCAGCTTCCGGTACAAATAAAGAAAAGCTGAAAAAGCTGCTTAAAGAATAAATATGTATGCTCATGCAGCTTGCATCTGTTGACACACTGAACAACTATCTGCTCTGTTTGGTTCTAATTAGGTGGAGCAGGGTCTAGTCTCCGATATGTCTGTGTGTCACCTTGTCTGATACTCCTTTGAAGCAATACACACAAAGCTTTGATGCTGAAGGGAGCCTCAGAGCTCCCACTTACATATTAAATGGTGAATTTCTTGTGTGCCAGATCCAGAAAGGTCTTATCTACTAAATTAAAGCGGGGTTCTTCTATTGTTTTAATCAGGGCATGTAAACCAGTGCTGCCGCAAGTTGTCTCCTTATGTCTCCTGTCCAACAGAGCCGATCATTCACAATTCTCGGTAATCTCTCTTTGACAGCTGCGTGAGCATTTCAGCTCCAGGAGCAGTCAATCTGCCACTACTGTCGTTCCTCATCAGCAAAAATGACCTCCTCCTCCTCCTTGCTCACTCTTTTCAGTCTGTCTCTGCTTGTAGCATAGTAATGATGTCACGGCTTGCTGATGTGCAGCTTTTTAAACACAGAGGAAGTGGTGTTTAATCACAACTGGTGGCTACGTGTTGACCTCATAATGTTATCATTTTGATCGTGGTATGGTAATGGACCCCCCAGGTCACTGGAACATTATTTACTCAGCCTAATAAGCACACTTTTCCTGTGTCACCATTAGTCAAATCGTTCCTCTCTGAGAGTTGTTAAAACCCAATTGTTTGCTGTGAAAAATCATATTCATTGCCCCAGATATGAAGAGGTTTGTCAGCAAGTGATGTCGAGTAATTTTATTTTTTTTCTCCATCAATGATTTGTAGAGCTGAGTGAGCTGCTGTGCTGGCAGTGTGGCCGCTCACTGAGTTCAAGCTGCTGAGCAACAAGATACTGTACATAAATCGCTGACTTCAGAGCATAGGCAGGTGTGTGTGTTTGTAAAACACATCTCTCATGCTTTCTACTTCTGTTTTAGCTATTTCTTAAATTTACTGTAATAGCTAACCCTAGAGAAGCCACTTTATAACGTTGTAGGAGGCATGACTTGTTGCCTACAAAGCGTGAAATTTAACAATAGACAAACTAATGCTGCCGAGAATATCTGGTGTGATTTGCAAATCAAAGCCCAGCAGGCAGGATGGTGTTTTCCATGCTGCCAACATCTGCAAAGATACGAGGCGTGGCTCAATCAGGTTGGTCTGCTGAGTAACTGTCTTTCTGGGAGCAGTTGGTTTTATAGCGATGTTGAATCTAATGCAAAATAGTGTTTTTACGCTGATGATGTTGCTGCTCTTCAGTGTTTTAGAGATGTTTATTGTTATAATACTAAGCATGCAGTGGTGTTTAAGGAGTGAATGTAATGTATAAATGGAAAGTTTACATGTGTTTAGTCATTTGTAGTGTCTGTTTTTATGCAGATCCATACTAAAGTTTTGGTTTGATTTTCTTCATTATTATTTACATGCCATAGACATGATGTCTGCTCAGACTTGGGCACTGTTTCTGGAGTGCAGTTAACAAGGAAATGTGAGCTTAACTTTTTATATAAAGCTATATAAATGTGCTGTACTGCATAGCCTTTTACTTTTTTCTTTCTTTTTTACTGCAGTTTTTCTCAAGTTATTTGTTAGTATGTAACAGAAGTCAGATAAAAATTGCATGGGCATTTATGAATATTTGTTCATTCACCAAGAAATACTGTATTTATTTATTAATTAATGTGAAATATGCATTCACAGATTATTGCCTGTGCTAGCATTAAACTATCTGAGGGTTAAAAATAAAATATACAGTATGATTATATGTAGAATGTGGTAGCTGCATCAATTATTATGACACTTGTATTCTGATAAAGTTAGTTCAGTGAAAGTGGAAAGAGACATGCATTGTACATTCACATGTAAACCAC